AGAACACAGAGAATAAATGCACTGGCGCCATTGCGAACGATTTTGAGCCATGTCATTCAAGGTCTCTAACCATCGATTATTATCATCTCGCGGACCCCAACCAGGTAGTCGACAATTACCGACATGGCTCAGTCCACTAGTCAATGACTTCATGGATTTCTGCCATGTTTTGGCCGCCCCTAGCTTTCTTCCAACCTACTCCTACACTACAAAACAAAGCTCTTCGAGGCAGTCGGTGGTTGGGCATACGCAACACATGTCCCAACCACCTCAACTGGTGAAGTTTCAATACTTCATCGATTGATCTGCCATTCTTACCTAGCACCCGATTCCTAATAACAGCGTTGCTCACTCGGGTGTCCCACGATATACGAGCAAATGCTTCGAAGACACCTATGATCGAAAACCATTAAACCGACGAATATCTTTCTACTCTCCACTGGCCATGTTTCACAGCCATAAAGTAAGGACGGAGCGAACTACTGCGCAGTACACTCGTCCTTTAGTCGCAAAAACGGATATCTCTCGCCCAGGTTGCATTTATTCTTTGTGTTACTCTCAAACCTAGTCTTCTGGATTTTAGATCACCATTATCTTTCTCTTTTTAAATTTATTTCACAAATATACACCAGCCCTGAGCACGTGAATCTCCTACATTCGTCACCTCCCAATCAACGTCGTTCGCCCCCTCCGGTGAGAGAGATTTCCACGTGCTCACTGCCGCCATAATCTTGTGAAATAAATTTAAAAAGAGAAAGATAATGGTGATCTAAAATCCAGAAGACTAGGGTTTGAGATAACACAAAGAATAAATGCACGTGGGCGAGATATCCGTTTGCTGACTAAAGGACGAGTGTACTGCGCAGTAGTTCGCTCCGTCTTACTTTATGGCTGTGAAACATGGCCAGTGAGAGTAGAAGATATTCGTAGGTTAATGGTTTTCGATCATAGGTGTCTTCGAAGCATTGCTCGTATATCGTGGGACACCCGAGTGAGCAACGCTGTTATTAGGAATCGGGTGCTAGGTAAGAATGGCAGATCAATCGATGAAGTATTGAAACTTCACCAGTTGAGGTGGTTGGGACATGTGTTGCGTATGCCAAACCACCGACTGCCTCGAAGAGCTTTGTTTTGTAGTGTAGTAGTAGGTTGGAAGAAAGCTAGGGGCGGCCAGACCAAAACATGGCAGAAATCCATGAAATCACTGACTAGTGGACTGAGCCATGTCGGTAATTGTCGACTACCTGGTTGGGGTCCGCGAGATGATAATAATCGATGGTTGGAGACCTTGAATGACATGGCTCAAAATCGTTCGCAATGGCGCCAGTGCATTTATTCTCTGTGTTCTCTCAAATGCTAATCTTCTGGATTCTTCAACCCCTCTAGTTTCGACTCTCTAAACTTTTCTCACTGAATCATACTTCTTGAGTAGTATCTTCTAATCCTAACCTCTCCGATTATTTCTAATTCCCTTACTACCTCTTCTACTATTGGATTTGAATTGACGATTACTTCTCTGTGCTGATATGGTATGGCAACATGAACTGATGTACTTATGTACAAAGTTCTACGTTGCATCTGACTGACTGACTGACTGACTGGGCCATTGCAACCGGCATTGAGCCATATCATTCAACGTCTCTAACCATCGGTTACCACCATCTTGTGGACCCCAACCAGGTAGTCTTCACTAACCAACATGACTCGGTCCGTTTGTCAGTGACTTCATGGATTTGTGCCATATTTTGGTTTGGCCGCCCGTAGCTTTCTTCCAACCTATTCCTACACCACGAAATCTAGATCAACGGGGCAGTGCGTAAGTACATCAGCTCGAGTTTTTATGCTACGGTAGCACTTGAAGACATGGCTGAAAATTGTTCGCAATGGCTCAGGTGCATCCATTCTTTGTCTTCTCCCAATTTCTAATCTCCTGAATCCGTAATCACCTTTAGCCGGACCATAGCTGCTACACGTTCGACTATTTCATTCCTTATCACTAGTTCAGGTGCCGATGCAACCCAGTCTTGAAGCAACGTTTTGCATTTCGAGGGGCGAAACCGCATCCCGAACATGCTTGCATTGTTGCTTAGGGTAGTCAGAAGACTGCATTTTGACAGCCTCTTCACCAAATAGAACTATGTCATCAGCATGTTCTAAGTCAACAAGCAAGCCTTCTGGTAGAAGGTCTACTATTGAAAATTCAGACTAATATAATGTCATATCTAGGAGCATGTCTATGACAAAAGTTAAAAAAGAATGGGGAAATCAGACAGCCCTGACGGATACCGTTTTGAAGTAGAGAATTCCGATGACAGTTCTGCATAAGCTCTAACTCGACCAGTGGTGTCCGAGTAGAGAGCCTGTATAAGGTTAATATATTTCTTTGGTACACCTTTCAATGACAGACACTGCCACTGAACCTCACGATCCACTGAGTCGAATGCCACCTGAAGGTCCAAGAAGACAATTCTTGTTGGAAGTCTAAATGTGTATCTGTGTTCTGAAACTTGTCGTAGTGTGAAGATGTGGTCTATACAGCCATGTCCAGATCGAAAACCAGCCTGGTTTTCTCTAGTGTGCTCTTCACGGGCTCTAGTTAGGCGTCTAAGTAAAGTCGATGCTAACATTTTAGACATTATATTAGTTAGACTGATTCCGCTGTGTTATTCACAAGAGGACTTTTGTCCTTTCTTATAGACTGGGACAATCAGCGATTGAGACCAGTCAGATGGGATTACGCCTAGTTCCCAGATTCTGCCTAAGATCTCAGTCAATCTAGCTGTTTAAAGTGGACCACCATTCTTTTAAATCTCAGGCGTAAGCCTATCAGAACCTGCTGCTCTACCTCGCCTTATATTTCCTATAGCTTTCTCAACTTCATAAAGGTTCTGAAGGCTGACGTCGACTTGCCACTTAGGATGACTGAAGATCGTGAGTAACCGAAGTGTGGCTGAGGGCCAGTTGAATTGATTCTTAAAGTGCTCTGCCCATCGATCCGATCTCCCGGATTGAGAATGAATGATACAGCCATCCTTTCCTCAGATAGTTTCGCTAACAGATAGATTTCTAACACCGGTTTCCTTTATTAGGCTTAACCACTGTCTACTGTTGCCCATTGCCTCTGCCTTTCCCATCACTTTTGCTTTTGCTACCCACCACTGTTCGCAGTCGTTACATGGGCTTTTTATCAGTTTGCGCTTAAGCTGACTTCGCTCTTCATCATGTTAACAGCCAGGTGGGATGAGTTTACGAGCGTCTATCAGTTCGGTGGATGCTACTGAGATCCACGGCTTCTCCCTAGTCTTATGGTTTACCCTATCAGATATCATCGCTGTTTCCACAGCTTTAGGATATCATCCCGAGCTACCTCCGGATGGGAATGAATTACATGGTCGCCTAACTGTTTTACTAGTTGCTCCTGAAATATATTCATACCTCTGCTATCATTAGGTAGAACCCCGAGAGGTTTCTTTGCGGTGCCTTTTCTACGTCCGGTAAGTCGCAAACAGATACGCGCTCGCACTAGAGTATGATCTGAATCCAGAAATGTGCCTCAGAACGAGCGACAGTTCTCTATCGAACCTCTTCATCGGTGGCTGATGGCAATGTGATCTAGTTGGGTCCAGCGTTGTGACGACTTTGGGGGTCGCCATGTCATGAGATGCCTTTCCTTATGCCTAAAGTTAGTGTTTGCTAGAAATAGGCGGTTATCTGAACACAGTATCAACAGACGGTCGCCATTATCTGTTCTCTGGGCCGCGACACCATAACATCTACCCAGGTGTCTTTCATTCCCACTTAGTCTACCTACTTGAGCATTAAAGTCTCCAGCCATTATTACTACATCGGAGCGCCTAACCTTTTGGAGGATATCCGGAGGCTTTCTGTAAAACTCATCTTTAACCTCGTCTGAACTGCAGTCACTGGGAGCGTAGGCAGATATGACGAAGAGGCAACGGCGAGTGTCCCTATCCTTCCCAATCCTTACTGTCCCGTTCAGTCGGACAGCGCACAAGCGACTATCTACTGGAGTGAAGTCTAGGAGAACTAGTTCTGCCCTACGATTCAATGCTATACCTACACCAGCGAGACCCCGGGAAGCAGCACCAGGGCTACCGGATACACGAAGAGTAAATCGAGTTGCTTCTTCATCTTGACATGGTGAAATCAAGGGAATGACGCTACTCGGATCCTGTATGCGCGTTTCCGACACGCAGCATAAATCGATGGAGCGAGATTCTAAAGTCCTAGCTAATGAGGCCTGTTGCCCTACTTGACACAACGTCAGTACATTAAATGCTCCAACATGTAATTTAGAACGAGGTTTCAGGAGACCAGGAATGACGTTCCGTAAACTCGCATCGTTTGCAGTGAGATAAAGGAATGTGAGAAGAGTTAGTCGTGAAGATAAGAGAGATTTTAGGGGATGTAGGATGGATTTGTTTGTGACCAATTTAGTCTCGCGTGATATGAGAGTGGATCCTACTTCCCGACTACCCACACCGTGGAAGGGTGTTTCTAGAGGGACGTGAAAAGAAAGAAACACGTTGGTCTTAAAGACCTGTAAGCGTGACTGCAAAGCCCAAGAGACAACTGCTTGAGGCCGGTCACATGCGGCCTTTTTATGGTATGTTTTAGAAGTGTTAGCTCTGCTCTTCGAAAGGTCTTACCTCTCGAGGTGGAAATCCGTGAGGTAAGGTGAGGTGTAACAGTTTAGGGTCAACCTTTTCTAACCCCTACTTTTCCTGTGAGAAGGCAGCATCGCTGCGAATTTCCGTATTTATCTAATTGTATAAGTTATGTAGTCTAATATCTCTTAATCCAGTTATTACTTTTACTGTTTATTTAGTATCTTTAATCTTCAGTTTTCGCAGTTGCCAAGTGATGTTGCAACTACCGAAGTTATAATTTGATGACCAAAAGAAGAGGTCTGATACTTCAGGGTTCACTAATAACTTTTCTTGTTTTATCAATAACTAGTATTTATTTGCTCTCTTTAGTTGCAAGGAGTGTCAGGCGTTGCTGAACAACCAACGCAGTTGCTATTATAAACTCAGTTGGAAATGTCGAATATATAGAAATTACAGTAATGGTGCAAGGACAGGATGGAAAAATTGGATTGTCCAGAAATGAATACCTCCTTGCTGGTTCTGTTAGCGGTTTTGTTGCCCGGGCAGTTGTACAACCCTTAGATGTAATTAAAATACGTTTCCAGGTAGGATTTGTGAATTTTTACTCAGTGTTGAATAGCTGCAAATGGAACCAATAAAAGTTTCTGGAGCGAGCAAATATCATGGTCTTATACAAGCTGTCAAGTGCATAAGCAGAGAAGAGGGCACCATTGCCTTTTGGAAGGGACATGTTCCTGCCCAAATGCAATCAGTTGCGTTCACTAGTGTCCAGTTTCTGTCCTTCGAAGTGATTCTTTCGTGGCTGCATGAAGTCGACAGTCTCTTCGTTTCAGATAATAAAATATTTGGCCTACCTATTACCTACAAACCTATTGGTAATTTCTTGTGCGGATGCGGAGCAGGCTCTTTAGCAGCTATAGTCACCCAGCCACTAGACGTCTTACGCACACGTTTTATCGCTCAAGGTGAGCCGAAAACTTACGGGTAAGCCTAACCAACAATGATGTCATAATCTCTCCGTTGACTTGTGTAACAATATATTCATTTTTTATAGTTGTCCTTGGTCAAATATTTACTTACTTACCTACGCCTTTTACCCCTCGTGGAGCATAGGCTGCCGACCAGCTTTCTCTAACCTACTCTTTCCTGGGCCGTCCTCTCTAGTTTTGTCCAATAGTTGTTCATTCTTCTCGTGTCTGTCCATTTCTTGGCGTAATGTGTTCCTTGGTCTTCCTCTTTCCTTTTGGTCCTTAGGATTCCGACTGAGCGGTTGTTTTATAACGCATTTGGGTGCTTTCCTCAATGTGCCCTGTTCGCTTTTTTTCCTCTGATGGAATCTGGTTTTATCACTCCTACAGTAGGTTGTAGCTGATGGTGTCCGACCAATGGATCCTCAGTATCTTGTGTAGACAACTCTTAATAAACATTTACATGCTGTGAATGATAATTGTTTTGAGTCCCAGTTGTTCTTCAGTTATAGAAATGCTACACTTGCTTTGCCGATTCTCGCCTTTACGACTGCGTCAGATCCACCTTGCTCATCAATAGTGCTACCCAGATATATAAAGGTTTCTACATCTTCCAGCACTTCTACATCAATTGTGTTGTCCTGCTGATCTCTTCAATTACTGGGAGATCCGTGTGTACTACTTCGATATTGAATGGGTTTAGTGGAGCTGGTTGATTCTGAAGTTGTTCAATGTGCCTTAACCACTTGTTTCGTCGTTCTGCCTCGTCGAGCTACGTTTTTTCATGTAGGAATAGGTTGGAACAAAGCTAGGGGCGGCCAAATCAAAACATGGCATAAATGAATGAAGTCACTAATAAACGGATTGAGTCATGTCGGTAGCTGTCGACTACCTGGCTGGGGCCCGCGGGATGGTAAGTAACCGATAATATAGACTGAGTGACGGCTCCAAACTGTTTGCAATGGCTCTGTTGCATTCTTTGTGTTATCTCAAATCATAATCCTCTGAATTCTACATCAGCTTTACGTTTTTCTTCCTGACCGTGGCTGCTACCTTGACGTGGTGGTCGGTCTTGTCTATCGTGATGACCCAACCGAGCTATATTGGATGGAACCTATGTTCCTGAAGGTTCTGTACCATGTCAGGCAGGTCGATTGAAGAACGATGAGACTAAAAGCAGCGACTCCCGATTTAAGGGCGAAGTCGTACTGCTGACTTCAGAGAGGTGTGACAGCAGTAAGGTGTTTCCCTCGGACAACCAGCATCTGCAGCGATGCTGCCTTCTCACAGGAAAAGTAGGGGTTAGAAAAGGTTGACCCTAAACTGTTACACCTCACCTTACCTCACGGATTTCCACCTCGAGAGGTAAGACCTTTCGAAGAGCAGAGCTAACACTTCTAAAACATACCATAAAAAGGCCGCATGTGACCGGCCTCAAGCAGTTGTCTCTTGGGCTTTGCAGTCACGCTTACAGGTCTTTAAGACCAACGTGTTTCTTTCTTTTCACGTCCCTCTAGAAACACCCTTCCACGGTGTGGGTAGTCGGGAAGTAGGATCCACTCTCATATCACGCGAGACTAAATTGGTCACAAACAAATCCATCCTACATCCCCTAAAATCTCTCTTATCTTCACGACTAACTCTTCTCACATTCCTTTATCTCACTGCAAACGATGCGAGTTTACGGAACGTCATTCCTGGTCTCCTGAAACCTCGTTCTAAATTACATGTTGGAGCATTTAATGTACTGACGTTGTGTCAAGTAGGGGCAACAGGCCCTCATTAGCTAGGGACTTTAGAATCTCGCTCCATCGATTTATGCTGCGTGTCGGAAACGCGCATACAGGATCCGAGTAGCGTCATTCCCTTGATTTCACCATGTCAAGATGAAGAAGCAACTCGATTTACTCTTCGTGTATCCGGTAGCCCTGGTGCTGCTTCCCGGGGTCTCGCTGGTGTAGGTATAGCATTGAATCGTAGGGCAGAACTAGTTCTCCTAGACTTCACTCCAGTAGATAGTCGCTTGTGCGCTGTCCGACTGAACGGGACAGTAAGGATTGGGAAGGATAGGGACACTAGCCGTTGCCTCTTCGTCATATCTGCCTACGCTCCCAGTGACTGCAGTTCAGACGAGGTTAAAGATGAGTTTTACAGAAAGCCTCCGGATATC